TGAGTCTGGGACCACACCGGGAACAGGAGCAGAACTGAGATCGGGACTGAGACCAGGACCAGGACCAGATCTTGATTGAGACCGGGACTGAGACCAGGACCAGACCGGAACCAGACCAGGACTGAGACCGGGACTAAAACTAAATCGTTTCAGTCCTGGTCTGGTCCCGGTTTGGTCCCGGTCTCAGTTCCGGTCTGGTTCTGGTCTAAGTCCTAGTCTAAGCCCCGGTTTGGTTTCGGTCTGGTCCCAGACCTGTTTTAGTCCTGGTTTAGTCCTGGTTCAGTCCAGCATGGCCGTTTAAGTCACGTAAACGGGAAACGGCCGTTGTTTGTTTTTTGCATTCTTCATTTAAACACAAAATCGAAAGTGAAAAAAACTAATTGTTATTTGTTTTTTTCATTTTGGTTTTGGAGACAAATAATGAAGAAAACAGTTGTTTTTTTTCATTTTCTTATTTTTGGTTTGATATTGAAAAACAAATTAATGAATGATACATGGATTATTAATCAGTAATAATCAATTATCAAGTATATTTTGTCATTTGGCATTTAACAGCCCATGAGCTCTATTTTAAACTATTATTTTTATGCATCAAGTAACTCGTCTATGTAATTTTTAATATTTGTGTTAGTGTTTTCATTATGTTGTGTTTCATGCTGTAAAGCACTTTGGTGCAACTTGTTATGGTTGTTTTTAAATGTGCTATATAAATAAAATGACTTGACTTGATTAGAAAAAAAAAACTGTATCTGGACTAGGTAGCTCTTATTATAAAAGGTAGATTTAAAAAAAACAAACGCAATATTAACAGTTTTTTAGCTAGTAGTAAATGCATATTTATGGTTGGACAATCTCAAGTTTCACCCAGTGGAGGGTCCAGCTCCATTGTGATGTTATTGTTTTGCCTGAAATATTCCACATTAATCACGTCGCATTAAACTGATCTGTGTTGCTTTTATTCAGTTACAAGTGTTTTTGTTGCATAAAATACCTTGACTAATATATTATAGGTACACCTCTCACCTGATCTGACCTGTAACTCGGCCCTGTGGCTTCACCTGATCATCTCCATGGAGTTTAATATCTCCATGGAGACAAGCAGGCAGAAAGTAACCAGAAAAGTTACATAGTGCACTTTTAAAAACACAGAAAAAGACAACTATGTCAGCCTGAAGTGACCCAAATCTGACTTTTTTGCCCCTATGTGACCTGTATCTGATCTTTTAGTGACAGTCTGAACGACACAGATCCATTTTTTTTTTTTCAAATGTGACCCAGGACACTTGGATACGTGATCCTAAAACCGATACATATCTGATCTTTTGGTTGACTGCATTCATCCCACCTACACGTCAAGTAGGCGCTCACAAATATACATGAACGTTCTTCTCATCATATGTGAAGCAGCGAAGCACATATCAATCCCACCACTCTTGGCTGTGACTCGGCTCCCACACGTTCCACATGTTCTACAGATGTTGCTGCCACTGCCCCCAAAACACCAGAGCCAAAAACCTCGTCCTTCTCCTTCTCAATCTCCTCTTAAAAACAAATAATTTGTACAAGTTCTGGCTCCGGTACGACAGCAATTTTACAATCTCCAATAGACATGCGGACGACCTTGTAAAAACTTTTTTTTTTGTGTGAAATGGATCTCACAAAATAATTAGAATTGAACATCAAGTCCTGCAGTCTGAACGTAGCCTTAAAGTCACAGTATCGATATCGGAACTTTGAAAAGCTGGATCTGTGCGTCCCTATTGCCACCTCCAGAAAGTTACACAGTATTACTTTAATGATTTTTCTTACATTATGATAGTTATTTCTACACAGTCCATCACCCAAGTAAGATTAAAAAGACTCAAACTGATCACTGACAGTTTTGAAACAGACGACAATTGAAAACTATTCGTCAGTTGTGTCACATTTAATTGGAAATGTGAATAATCTTGCAAAAAAATCCAAATTGAGCATTAAGCCCTGCAGTCTGAACGTAGCCTGTATGTCCAGCACAAACACAATTGGGATTAACTGAAGCTAAGACTAGACCAGGACTAAACCAGGACTAGAAAGGAACCAAACCAAACTTACTTTCAGCCTTAAAGGTTGTATAGAGGATTTTCCAAGGAACGAGAAATCCAGCGACTGTTTGTCCTTTTTCAAATGTTGCGCATGTGTGAAACCACCCCCCCTCCCCTACAGCTCCTACGTAGAAACGCCTCCTCCCTCCTCCTCCTTACGCCAGAAACAGGTTTGTTTACAGCCGGTGCTGCACATGACTTGTAAACAACTAACTACAGTGTTGGTTAGGCAAGACGGAGAAGTGAGGAGCGGAGGGGGGGTGTGCGGACATTTCGTGCGCTGACAAGAAGTGAGAAGCAGGGCGAAGAACGGAGCAGGGAGAGAGGAGAGGAGTGAGGAGTGAGGAGAGGAGAGGGGAGCGGTGCGCGGAGATTCCGTGAGGAGCAGGGAGAAGAGCGGAACGGGCAGAGAGGGGCGCGGAGATTCCGTGCGAATGAACTAGCTACTACTACAACACGCAGCAGCAAGCGGACTCTTTCTTTGCCTTGAAAATTAAGTTTTCAGACATAGGATATCGCATTCGTGTCCTGAAAAACGTTTGTCTAGCTCTTGGAAATAAAGTACGTTTTCATAATAAGCAGAAGTTTCCTGTCCAGGAGTAATTTGGCGACCAGTGCGTCAGTCTTTAGACCCTTGCGTCTGCTTCAGTCGCGCCATCGCTGGAATGAATCTTCAAGAATCACCTTAGTTTGGTTTCGCTGCTTTTCCCCTTGTCTTCTTCTTTCAGCGACCTCAAAAATGGACTTTGTTTTGCAGCTAACTGCTCCTGGATTCTTGTCGCCATTGCAACAAACTTTGTGCGAACTGCGAGGAAGAATATAGGTCAAAAAAAGCCGCTAAGAACTGTTGCGTTGGTGGAGTAAACAGCGTCTGTGCGTCTTGCGTCTGTGGACTGTGTGACAGTCGTACGTAAACCACGTACCGGCGGCGCAGGCAAGTCAGTTACGCTAGAAACGTAGGGAGATTGATTGACAGCCTGTCAGCTCACAGATAACGAGGCAGTGTCGTTATCTATTGGCAAATGTTTAGCCCCACCACGTCCAGAGTTGATGAATTTTTATTCTCTTTTTTTTGGTCATCATAATTACAAGGCTACTGCACCTCTATAATCTATCATTGACAACTTGAAACAAAAAAAAATCCTCCATACAACCTTTAAACTGACCTCAAAACAGAACCAAACCTCCAGGAACACACGAGAAACAGCTACGGTAAATTATTCACATTCACAATCTCCCCTGAAAGACTGAACCGTTCTCTCTCTCGGTCCACATTTCTAGTCGTGACCCGGAGTAACGCTGCGGGACGATGACGGGGGCTGTATTTACAAGAGCATGAATCACCGGCCTGCGCGATGACACTTAAGCAACAAGGGTGACCACTTCCACACCACAGAGAATAACAAGAGAAGCAGGGGCAGCACAGAAAAGATTCAATAGCCAAAGAAGGGTCAATGCTGAGCTGCCGCCTCGACGTTACCGACGCATCAATACACATTTACAATCTACGGTACAGCGGAAGACGAGAACGACCGGGACAAAGGGAAATCATGAGAGTGTTGGACTTTCAAATGAGAATGAATGAATGAATTATGTGAGGGATGAAGAGAGAATGCAGGTCTGGACCACGGAAACCAGGACGGGAAAGAAAAGGGCCAATCAGGTCTGAAGAATGAGCACAGGAGAAGTAGACCGAAGCCGAAACCAGGACTAGACTCAACGGATCTAAGCCAATAAAGCAAAATATGGTAAAGTAAAAGTACGTACAGGTGCTTTTTCACACTCAACAAGCACAAGGATCTACAAAAACACTGCAAATTTCCATATAAATGCACATTTTTCCAGTGTATTTTAGCAAAAGTACAGTACAGATATATTGTGTAAGCAGCATTCAGGTCAACATATTTTTGTGTACAAGGTCATGACTTACTGCAACCAGGAAACATACGTAACTTTACAGATTTATTTAACAGTCTGTGGCTTCATAAAATGGGCATATTGACATCTAAAAGTTCATCGGACGTGGAATTAATTATCAATGTTTTAATTGCAGAAACACTTGTCTTACTTTCAACTCACCGAGAACTAAACCAGATCTTAAATCAGGTCTAAATGAGAACTAAACCAGGTCTAAACAAGCCCTAAACAGGATTTAAGTGAGAATTAAACCAGGTTTAATGGAAACTAAACCAGGTCCAAATGAGAACTAAACCAGGTCTAAATGAGAACTAAACCAGGTCTAAATGAGAATTAAACCAGGTTTAAATAAAAACTAAACCAGGTTCAAGTGAGAACGAAACCAGGTCTGAAATCAGGTTTAAAATCTGTTCCAAATAAGAACGAAACCAGGTCTAAGTGAGAACTAAACCAGGCTTAAATGAGAATTAAATTAGGTCTAATTGAGAACTAAACCGGTTCTAAATGAGAACTAAACCAGGCCTAAAATCTGGTCTAAATAAGAACTAAACCAGATCTAAATGAGAACTAAACCAGGTCTAAATTAGAGGAAAATCAGGTTTAAAATCAGGTCTAAATGAGAACTAAGTCATGGCTAAATGAGAACTAAATCAGGTCTAAACAAGCCCTAAACCAGGTCTAAATGGTAACTAGATCAGGTCTAAAATCAGGTCTAAATGAGAATTGGTAAATTGGTGACACTGGTGATCTAAACCAGAGCTAAGAGACGCCTGAACTTGGAAAAATACAAGTCCCAAACCCCCCAAAAAACAAGGACTATTACAGAACTTGATCAACACGATTAGCAGAGAGTGGCCTTGTTACGCAGGCGAGAGAAAGAAACATTTTAAATCAAGCTCGTGTACATCCCGCTCTTCCCTCCTCTCTGAAATGCCCACACCTCGGTACAGTTCTAATCATGTCGGCGGACAGCGCAGAGCGAGGACGACGCGTGAAACTCACCGCCTGACAGATGATGGGGTACTTGATTCGATTGATGCCTCCTGCGAACACCGCGAAGGTCAGGGCCGTGTGGAAGCAGAAGTTTAGCAGCGTGTGCCATCCTTTTCGGCTAATCCGGATCGCACTGGGGAAGAAACACAAAAAACAAACAAACAGGTAAACAAATAAACAAACATGCGTCGATGTGAGATGTGTCCTTCAGAGGAAACGCAGTCGGGTTTTGAAGAATGTTACTCACAACATGAAGGAGTCGATAGGGGATTTTGAGACGGATTAAAAGGTAAAAAAAAGAAGGAAAAGACAAAAATTCACATATTGTTTGTCCAAAATTATTCCTCGCTTTCAAAACACATTCTGAACATCCTAATTATTCACCGCAATGAATTTATAAGTGCTTTTCACAACTAGCATGCGAACAGCGCAGCATAAACTGTGTATATAAATGGACGTGAGCCACTGTGTTCCAAACATCACATCCAATCCACTTTATTTATACAGCACATTTTATAAACAGACCGTTTTCAAAGTGCTGCACAGACAAATTAATACAACAAAGGATAGTTAAGTATAAATAAAAGCAATAAATAAAACGTAAAATGCAAAAAAAAAAAGCTAAAAATTATTTTCAAAAAGAATTTAAAGAATGCTAATAAAGTTAAATTAATAAATAAAAATAAATAAAAAACACGGAGGACTGCACAACTCCATCTGTCCATTTTCTTCTGCTTATCTAGGGCCAGGTCATGGGGGCATCAGTCTAAGCAGGGACTCCCAGACTTCTTTCACCCCAGACGCTTCCTCCAGCTCCTCCAGAGGGACCCCAAGGTGTTCCCAGGGCCAGCCCAGAGACATATGTGTGTTATGCATATGTGTGTATAAACATTTATATTGACTCTATGTACTGGATATCTATGATGTGTATATGTATGTATGTATGTGTGGATATGTTTTTGTATATATATATATATGGGTATATTTTTGCAAATGACAGGTAAGAATTCCAAAGGTGATATTAAAAAAAAAAAAGATTATATAAAACAATTGGGGTAGGAATCCATAAGTTGTTCAAACTTCATCCTCCTCCGTTTGAGCACCAGGTCCCAAATATGTTCACGCACATATCACTATTTTTGTTATGGTTTTTGAATCTTGTTGTACCTGGCTCAAACAAATAAATAAATTAGATAAATGAATAGTCCCTCCAGCGTGTCCTTGGGTCTTCCTCTCTCAATGTGGAGGAGCAGCGGCTCTACTCCGAGCTCCTCCCGTGTGACTGAGCTCCTCACCCTGTCTCTAAGGGAGCGCCCAGCCACCCTGCGGAGGAAACCCCATGATCTTATACTTTCGGTTGTAACCCAAAGCTCATGACCATAAATTAGGGAAGGAACATAGATTGAGCAGTAAATCGACCTCTTCAGCACTACAGTCCGACACAGCGACCGCATCACTGCCAACGCTGCACCGATCCACCTGTCAATCTCACGCTCCGTCCTCCCCTCACTCGTGAACAAGACCCCGAGATACTTGAACTCCTCCACTTGAGGCAGGGACTCTCCACCTGATGTTTTTCAGTCAACGATTAACAGTGTTGGGAAGGTTACTTTTAAAATGTATTCCCCTACAGATTACAGATTACATACACCCCAAAATGTAGTTTGTAACGGAATCCATTAAATTACTTAAGGTGAGTAACGTAATCTGAATACTTTGGATTACTTGATTTGCTGTAGAGAAGCAAAGACGAGGAAATCTTCACATAAAATGTTTTGTCTGCTAAAAGAAAATTAAAAGCCCAGATTTTACTGAAGCAAATTAAAAATATTATTGATAGAAGAGAAGGAGACATGGTCCACAAAGCATGATTTAGTCCTGTTAAATCATATTTAGACCTGGTTTAGTCTTGGTTTAGTCCTGGTTTAGTCCTGGTTTAGACCTGGTTTAGACCTGGTTTAGACTTGTTTTAGACCTGGTTTTAGTCCTGGTTTTAGTCCTGGTTTAGACCTGGTGTAATCCTGGTTTAGTCCTGGTTTTAGACCTGGTTTAGTTTAGACTTGGTTTAGACCTGGTTTAGTTAGACCTGGTTTAATCCTGGTTTAGTCCTGGTTTTAGACCTGGTTTAGACTTGGTTTAGACCTGGTTTAGACCTGGTTTAATCCTGGTTTAGTCCTGGTTTCGACCTGGTTTTTAGACCTGGTTTAGTCCTGGTTTAGACCTGGTTTAGACCTGGTTTAGTCCTGGTTTAGACCTGGTTTAGACCTGGTTTAATCCTGGTTTAGTCCTGGTTTCGACCTGGTTTTAGACCTGGTTTAGTCCTGGTTTAGACCTGGTTTAATCCTGGTTTAGTCCTGGTTTAGACCTGGTTTAGACCTGGTTTCAGACCTGGTTTAGACTTGGTTTAGTGTCCGGCAATGAGTGGAATTACCGAGAAAAAAAAGAAAAGGGGAATAGCTCAAAATGTGAAAACAGGAAAATACCGCTGTGTAATCCAATTATTTCAACAAAGTAACTGTAATCCAATTACCACTCACTGAAGCAGTAACTGTAACAGAATACAGTTACTCATAAATTGTACTCTGATTACGTAACTCCGGTACATGTAATCTGTTACTCCCCAACACTGACTATTAATAAGCGAAGCAAGAAACTCTGACCAATGAGCTCCTTCGTTTCACAAGCGTCACTGAAAAAGCATCAGTCTATTTGCATTGTGTGTTACATTTATATTTCGAAGTGTTTGAATATTAAAAAAAGTTTAAAAACACAAATAATAAATGCGTTAACATAGAAAAATCAAACAAAATACTGTAAAATAAAGTAAAATAAAATAAAAAATCTACCAAAATTCAACAAAATATCAAAAAGATTCAACTACTTTTCAAACTAAAAATGCTGAAACGATAATTACACCTGCACTATCGCGGCGTCAGGACAGAGGTGCGGTCAGTGAAGCATCACACTGGGAGAAAGACACAAACTCATTCATTAAACCGAACAACCTGCAGCCCTGACCTTCACACACACCCTCAAACAAGCCAATTTAAAAGAACAGTGCCTCACAATAAGGAAATGCTACAAATCAATACAACATACTTTAGTTACATGTATTCCTTTATAGTGGAAAACTCTGTACGGCTCTGTTCTTCTGTGGTCTAGTGTAGTGGTTTATAAAAAGTAAACAAACATGACGTCGATACGGACCAATTTAGAGAAGTTTTCATGGACTAAAGCGAAAAAGAGAAAGATTCATGGACATGTTGACACGATTACATGATGTTTTTTAATTCCGAAATTGAATTAAATAGATCAAAATTTAAATATTCTCCTTCAAGTTTATATGGAAAACACGTTAAATCACTTTTATTCAATTCCGCTCAAAGTCTGGGGGTGGGGAAGAGTTCTGATTGGACAGAGACACAAAAGGATTTACATCGACCGGAAGAAAACAAACACTTCAGCTGTTTTTTTTTTGTTTTTTTTTGTCGTCTCAGTTTGTCGTTACGCTACGGACGCAAACGTGATCCAAACTTTTTCCGCAGTCGTTCCGATGATAATGAAGCAGCAGCCGGAGAATTCTCGCTTTACGCTTTACGTCTGTCGGCTGAGGAGGAGAAGGGAAGAGTGTCGGAGAAGGGAGGAAGAAGACAAACTGAGTCAACGGCTGCTCCACCTCAGCCCACTCCCGCATCCCACTCACAAATCCAAAGAGACGTGGATGAAAGTCCGAAGTGAGGACTGGTGGAGCCGGATCGTCCGAATATCGTCAGAAGGGTGACCCAACGAACATGCGCTGAACGACCCGAATTATTTTGAAGAAGAATAAACGTTTTCATGATCGAGGAATAAAATTATCTGGCTTTGAAATCGGAATAAACCACATATTTACTTCAGAATTACCGTATTTTCCGGGCTATTAGACGCGCTCTTAAGCCTCTAACCGCAACAAAAAATGACCGAGCACGACTTCGGTAAACTACAAAGCCGCAAACACGCAGAGCTTTCAGCGACCGCACAGAGAAACACACCCGCAGACACACTCATCGCTCCACGCCGACGAGGAACGGAACGGAAGGAACGAACCGAAAAAGCGAGCGCAATGTGCCGCTTCTAGACACGACTGAACAACTGAGTCACTGCGAACACGCCGACAATCCAGCGATCCCAGACAGCACCCTCCCTACACGCCACAACTGAACAAAGCCCAGAGTCACCGTGAACGAAACAAACAAACAAAACCACTGATCCATCCAACTGTTGTGTTTCGTTTAAAGTCCGGTGCGGTTTATTTGTGAAAAAAGTTCGAAAATAGACCATTTTTATAATCCAGAGCGCCTAATAGTGCATAAAATACGGTAAGTTTAATTCCGAATAATCATTTACATTAGGAATTAAATGTTTACATGGTCTTTTCTTTTTAAAGGAGAATTCATTTTTGTTCAGAACTAAACTATTTTTATTCAGAATTAAAGCTCTCATGTAAACGTGGAAAGTATGGCTTTAGAGGTCTGAGCAGGACACAATTTTCTGTTTCAGTTTCAGAATTTTCAGACAGAATTTCCGCTCCCGCCTGCATCCAGAGAGAATTGTAATTTTCAGTCCAACTCCCGCCCGCATCTGTGATATTTTGTCCCGCTCCTGCCAGCAAATTCTGCAAGATGGGGACGTTCGCTTTCTTGAACTCTATCAAACACGGAGAAGCGGAAAGGAATTGTCTAAAATGCGCTTGAAATTAAACCACATCTGCAAGTTTAGGCTGCTTAAAATGTTTTTATTAAGCTCAAATGATGCATGATAGACATACATTTTTCATTTGTATATTTTACTTTACACTCATATTTAGTTTTAGATTTCTTGACAAGCAGGTGGTGAACCATCTACCAGAAAAGTTACTAATTGCGCATTAAGTATGAGGTGAAATGTTAAGAAAGATAAAACGCGTGAACCCACTAATCTTGAAATCGCTCATATCGTCATAGTCCGTGCTGCCAAGTGATAAGGTTTGTACGGTAATTTGCACCAATTTTTATGTCGTTTGTTAACACATTTTGAAATCTGGTTCACCATCTGACATGAGTAATAAGTGCAGCTTTATTGTTTCCGCTATTTCTCTTCCTGACAGTCGTGTCT